GAGTATAATAATATACATATATATGTACCTAACTATACATTACACATATCGATGATCAAATGGACCGCTTCTACAGCCTCCGTCGAATCGTCTTCCTAGCTCATCGGCACCACTGCCGCTAATGTCGCAGTTCCGGTCGAGGCCACTATAGGCACATATATAGGTAATTGGTAATTAATATCATATAATAGTCCCGAATCCTACACATATTTTGTGCTTATACAGTGAAACCTCTAAATACCGGGCACTCTCGATCACTGGAGTTTTGTCCGCTGTTTGGAGGTATTCACTGTTCACAGGTTTTGATATATGGTAGGTATATATGCTGCAGAGTGACCACGCCAAGAGTGCAGGATTGGTAAATTGGATCCTAGAAGACCCTTACTCGGTAAATTGAATTCCGGGATAAAACAGGTAGTAGGTAAGTTGAGTCCAGGGAAATAATAAGTAGTAGATAAGTTGGGTCCAGGGAAAAAATAGGTAGTAGATATGTTATGTCCAGGGAAAAATAGGTAGTAGGTACGTCGGGTCCCTGGGAAAAAAGATTGTTGGTCCCGGCTACTCGGGCCCGTCGCAAGAAATTTTCCGCCCCTTTCAATCAAAAGCTAAATATATTACAGTATACTGCAATTTTATCACATTATTAATATAATGAATAACATTTTACAAATTTAATTTTAAATTATTGTTGTATTTAATAAATTTCAAAAGGTTAATACAATATTGTTGTTTCCATAAATTAATAAACCAACGTCTTATACCTATACCTAATGATAAAAATAATAATCTTATAAAGTTATAATATTAAATAAATAGTTAATATAAATATGTACTTCAACTTGAGTTATAATGTTTACAATTCGYAGTMCACAGAAGTGTACTAAACTAAAAATTAACTTTCCTTGCTTTTTTTGAAGCAAAGTCTTGGACGATGTCTTCTAAATCCAATTCTTGCGCCAAGTCGGACTCAATGGATAAAAATAGCCGGGCTACTAATTAAAAAAATAAAAAATAAATTTAATTATTATAATTAATAGATATATAACGTATTCTATAAAAGTAAATTTCATTCTATTACATTACTACGAGAATGTTTTTCCCGTCGATGACTTTTTTGCGACAAATGTAATAGTTTTGTAATATGATTTATATAGATCGYCATACTCCACTGCAATGGGATGAACGCRTTAGTTCATCACGTAGGTATCTGTATACCAAGTGATCCATTTAATGAAAGACACGCACTATTTCAATACTATTAACTTTTAGTAATATTTTTTACATCATTTCAAGTCATTAACACACAAATTTTTCTAAAAAATATATATTCTTTACTATTTTTTTATCGTCATCACTCATCATGTATTTTAATTCCTCATTCAAAACAGAATATTATTTAGAGAACTTAGACAAATTTTGAATTTCAGACTAGTATTTCATGAGTTAGATGTTTTTTCCAAAAAATATTATTTTTCAACAACGTAAATGTTTTCTGAAATAACGAGTGTCTTACTTTGAATGAATCATCCAATAAAATATATACTTATAGTTATAGGTATATTATAAGTATATGTCTATACTAACTGTTATTAACTTCAAAGTAATTAATATGCATTTTTTTATTTCTCTACGTTGAATTAACAATTATTATTATAGATAACCCATCCATTAT